TTCAAAATAACAAATATGAGATGTGCCAGAACATATTTCCTGGAAAGACATGAACACACGCTAAAGTTTGACTGCTGGTCAAATTCTTTCAATTATTGAGGCATTCACGATGGTCAGTGGTGAATGGTTCCCTCATTACTATTAAATGAAATTGGCTGCTGATAACCAGTAGTGCGACCATGCCCTACGGCCCGGTTCCATATGTGGACTAGATGGCCCAAACCATACAGCGTTTTGGGGAAGCTTTGGTCAAATAACTAGTCGTGGCTTGAACTCGCCCCAAGATTGAGGCAGATAGCCAGGTATTTTAACAATGTCTAGTGCCCTCATGAGACAAATTTTAACTCCATACTACCCGAGTTAGTCTGCCTTCTTGCCCTCCAAGTCCTTGCGTTTCTGCTTGGGATCATCTGGGAAGGTCTGAGACAGTGGGACCAGTCCAAGCAACAGGATGTGGCGCGGGTAGTTCTTGCTCTCACGGAACAGGTTGTCAGTTCCATGCAGACGATCCAGGATGCCCAAAGTGCCGTAACAGTTGGTGAACCTGGCAAATGAAATCAGTAAATGGGAGTAATAGAACCCTCGCATCAAGTGTTGAAGGCAAAAATATGCACACTTCACAAACACAGACACGTGGCACTTCACAAGCACTTCACAGGTATTGGTACATTTGTCGGGTGCCCGGCAGAAGGGTGTAAATGCACTTACACCCTTTTGCCAGGAAGCATGATCACAGCAGAAAAAATGTTCCCGGCAAAAGGGTGCAGGAAACACACACTCTTTATTTAGTAAAAACGGATATTATATACTACAAAATCAACCTGGGCTGTACAAAAAGCAACCTTTGAACAACTTATTAAATGACTTGGGCTTTTTTTTTACTTTTTGCCAAGAAATGTTATTTCATTAAAATACAATAGCTGCATACTTTCGTCCTTTTGCAGGGAAAATTTTTTTACAGTAATCACGCTCACTGGCAAAAGGCCTAAGCGCTTACGCCCTTCTGCCGGGTACATGACGGAGTACTCACTGGTACAAATGGTACATGTACTTTATGAATACTCACAAGTACTTCATAAGTTCACATACATGACATACATGTAAGTACTCACCGCCGCAGGTACTTCACAAATACATGTACTTTTAATGATTTCATGTACTTACCTGTACTTCATAATAGTACTCACTACACATACTGGTACTAAGTACATAATACATGTACATGTGTGTCATTCCATTAACCCTAACAGTTCCAAATCCTCTGATTTCAATATTATTGTACATACACACAAGGGTGTTAGGGTTAACCCCTCCTTGACAATTACAAGTATTGATGGTACATGTACATCTAGACCCTCACAAACCAACTAAATATTCTTTCACACTAAAACTTGGAAGAGTCATCGTCAGTTCTATTGAAACCTTTCAATGTTGGGGGTGTACAGTATACATGTACAGTACATGTATATATGCTGTTTGGGTGTGATTTAGGGCTGCCAAACCCTCCACCAGGAAGCTTTGATTCTGCATGAGGCGATCGAGTCAGTTACATGTACATGTATTCAAAGGTTTCAAGAGGGCCACTTTGTAGGCAGGTTCATCCCCCCCCCAAAAAAAAACCAAAGTGGATTTTGCAGTACATGTATCTGGGAAAAGTTCCTGTTGTTCTGCAAAACCATAAATTACAGCACAAGAAAGAAACAACGATTCTACAATAAAAATGACACATAAAACAGACTAACATGTTCTTATTTTTCTTGGTACAATGAAATTAATCTCAAGGGTCAATTTTGTGGAGAAATTTGCTAAGCAACGAAATTGTTTGCTTAGAAAAAAAAATTAACAGCCAAAATGCTGTGTGTTGTTTACATTTTTTTAGACTTACCCTGCTGATACAGTACAGGTCAGAATTTTAGCCGACACGCTAACACGATCAACGAACCTGACACGCTGTTCAAGGCACGTTTGCGATTTTTACCCTGCATTGCTGGTCCAATACACGATAAGCCTGACCCTGGACCTCATTAACTCGGCAGGGCTTGTGACCGCAGACCATAAAGGTGACCGAAAACGTATAGTGAACCACTGTACACGCAGGGCCGTTGCTCCAGCTTCATGTATGCATGTAATGTACATGTACATGTACTGTGAAATCACGTACATGTAGCTCCAGGCCGGCAAGAACTGATGACCGTCTTGAAGTATCAATATATGTATCACAGCCGTTTTCTTTTAGTTCTGGATCGCGGTAGTAGTTCAGTCGGATTACATCTGAAAAATGTAAAACTTCAGTGAAACTGGCATGTAGTCCACCGTGTGTTTTTAGCTACATGTACATGTACTACAAACCTTTCCCTATAAAATGTAAGCTTTGAATTTTAAACTCATGGGATCGACTGGAGCAACGCAATGCTTTTTCTTGCTGGTTCTAATGCTTTTAAGCAATTCCTGATTGCGTAAGAAACTTTTTCACAAGTAAACGGTAACCACAAAAGAAATTCATTCCTCAGCAACAACTATTATAACAAGCTGATTTTACAGTGAAGTATTTCATAAGGGTCGGACGTTTAAACGTTTAACCGAAAAATATATATATCCATTTAGAGATTTTTCTTAACGTTTAAACGGAACTAATTGTTGGAGATTTCACAAAGTTTAATTGACGCAATCTAGATTGATTTTTATTTTCAAACGATGCTGCGAAAGTGCCTTTACATTTTGAAACACTTCAGCATCCGGTCAGATCAAAGGAACTTTCAATAACTCGAAGTTGGCTAACTCGAAACTCCGCTTATCTCAAATACATTCTTCATTACCGACAAAAGAATCGCGGATTCTTTGTGGTAGTGATGTAGCAACCACTCTCGATGGAGGACGCTTTGGGTGTGCTGCGGCTTTAGCCTTGGTGCCGTCGCCCGCTCAACTTCAACAGAGGCGCGCTACTCACATGGTGACTGTCCAATCACAACCCTTTACGGCACAAAAGAGATGCGTCCCTGACGCGGTGCTGCAAATGCAAAGTTTCCCCCAAAGCGTTAAGCATAGTGGCACCGCTACGCTTTACCGAACTGCCGCTACACTATTAGATTGGCCGCTAGGCTTTTTTTTACCCAGTATGCTTTAAAATTGAATGCTACGCTTAAAATGTTGCCATTAACCACTTCGGACCTGGGCATTTTTCAACGTTGAGGATGCTGGGCTGGCATGACTATCATTTTTTCCGTTCAAAAAATCATTCAAAATCCTTCAACAATTCATCATTCCATTTAACAGTCGTTTATAGCCGCACGGAGTAATCTTCAG